TTGTAGTCCGATACTTATTTAGAGATTGTTTCTTCGTTTTGTTTTTTTCCATTGAGCTAATAGTGAGCCCACGCGATCGACGCGTTGCGGCGTGCTATTTGCAACATTATTACGTGGGCACCGTACTCTCATATCCTGTGAAGGAATAATTTTTATAAAACGATTAAAAATATTGTTATGTTATTTTAGTACGGATAAATTTATTTTACTACAAAAAAAATAAGAAAATATGCATAAGAATTAAAAAAAAACTCTAAATAATAAAATGTAAACACGTTAATTATGTTATGACAAAAGTAAAGTAACGACACACTCTAATTTGGTGTGCAACCTATACCAATATTATAAAGAGGAAAGATTTGTATTTTTGTATGTAATGAAATAACTTAAAAAGTACTGAGCCGATTTCAAAAATTCTTTCACCGTTAAAAAGCTACGTTATCAGTAACATAAGCTAATTTTTTTTAATTTCACGCGGGCGAAGTAGCGAGCGACAGCTAGAGTTTTATACATAATAAACACAATTTATACCTACTTAGTATGAAATTATAGTTTCGCACTAATTAAATCAGGACAACAAGTTCTACGTGTTTGTCTCGTAAATGCGGACGGTAAGTGAAAATCAAAAGAAAGAACGCCTACGTTCCTCTACGCTTCACGAACAATATATTAACATAATCCTTGTCCGGAAGGTAATTCGCCACGACATATCAACTCTGTAAGATAAGTGGATGACATAATAGGAGCAAACATTTTAGTGTAATCTTCAATTCGGTCAGTGACTTCAGATATCCAATTGTTTCGGTTATTTCCAGTCTAACCTAGTTTAACAATTTCTTCGATATAGCAAGACATCTGTCTTGTAATTTATTTAATTTATATAAGACATCTATCTGTTGAATTGTATTCTTTAGAAACAGTTTTATAATACGTTTGAGTTTTAATATTTTTAATGAAAGTTTCTACGAAGTTATATGATTGTAACAATTAAGTGCTATTAGTAGATTGTATTGCACAATGTAAATCCAAAAGGACAAGAATTGTTTAATCTAAATTCTCTCGTTATGAAAGTAGTGGTTCAACCATTCACATTTAGTAATTACTTCTTATCAGAAAAGTAAGGTTACTCGTATTTTATAATAATTGAGAGTGAAAGTAATAACAAAATCTTGTTAGTCTTCGAAACCTTGTTATTTCAAAGTACGCGTCTAAGATGTTTTGACAGCTTTGTACACTGCAAAAAGAAATTTCGACGAAATAAATAAAATTAAGAATGATGATATTAACCTACTTACATAATTCTGAATATTCTTCTAGCATCTCTCTTGCTGTAATCAAATAAATATAGAGACATCGTTTTTAATAAATCATTACTCCATACTTACTAGTAAGTGCACGCGACTCCGTTCGCGCGGATTTCAAATAAATCTTAGTAGGTTATATGTGCTTCCAGACTATTTTCTACATCTATGCAAAATTTTATGGAGATCCGTTCAGCCGTTTAAGCTGTAAAGTCTAAAAAACATCCATCCATGTAAACTTTCACATTTATAATATTAGAGAGATTTAGACCATGTTATTCCTGATTTGCACAAATCTATACTAATATAATAAAGCGTAAACACACAATTCTTTGTTGCCTCAGATGTCAGCAATTACAGCATATTTTTGAATAGTTCTTTTTTTAACAAAAAGTCCTACTCTTACGTCACGTTTTAGGCTATATTTTTTCACGCCAATAAACTTAGGGGATAAATATTTTGGATAAAATCCCTTATATGGGAAAGAGACCATAAGTTGCTGCCAACACGAAGGAAACAAGATTGCCAAGGTTTGTCATGTCATGTCAGTTTGACATTTGCTATTGATAATTTGGCAAATGTTAACAATGAAATGAAATTTTCATAATTTCATGCGAACGAAGCCGCACGGGAACAGCTAGTATATTATTAATTAATTTTCGTACGCCATAGACATGGCGTAAGAAACTTGAAATGTTCTGAAACATTATTTGTCACTTCCGTCTATATAAATTTAAATCTGAAACTCAAATTACTTTGGTAATCTCGGTTTTGAGATTCAAGAATATAATAGATAAATGTAATGAGATTTTTTAAGACGTGTTTAGCTTTGAAACGATATCCTTGAGTTTAGAATACGTACTCTCGCCATCGCAGTCTAGACGCGTGGGATGCCCACCCTAACTGATACCTATAAATAAAATACTTTACACAGGTAGCACACGATTTAAACGAATTGTATGTAGCAACTCTCTGAGTATTTCTTCGAATGGATTATTTATTTCAGGACTAGTTGCCGCTCGCGACTGTTGTGACGACGGATTCTTGAATTACGGATTTAATTGATATGTACTCATAAGTCACCCCTTACTTAGGACAGGCTCCGAGCCCCTTAGTGGGGACATATAGTCATATGGTGATGATGATTATGGTGATGTACTCATAAAGGCACAACTGGTAAAAATGAACATCGTCGCCATTTGCAACGATGACCCTGATCTGGAAAAGTTCTGCTGGCGATGCGTTGCATTCATCGTTCTATTGATCCTTCAGTAGCATAAATGTTTTTGGATCCAAATACCCCGAAGCTGTATGTTATTTTGGCAGTTTGCCTGAAAATGTTCACCTGAACTCCGTTGTCACAACGCGAAAATATTAAGATAAGGCAACCAGCCAACTCTCTAGAATGTTCTTGTAAGTAATAGAAAAAATGTAATAATGAAGGGCAAAAGAACAGCGAGAAAGAGATGATCATCGACCCCCATGGATATCCGCCACAGGGAAATTGCATAAATTACCGGTTAGAAGTATGCTCGCTTCTTTGAAGCATAAGTCATACGGCTTTGGAAATACCGCAAAGATCAGACCGTTCCACAACGCGATCGTACGTGGCAGGAAATTTTTCGAAAATCGTAGTGTCAAGGGTCAATTTAAATATAAATCTCGAGAAAATCTTATGAGGATACCGCACTATTCATTACAAAGTTGCAGAGAGACTTTTTAATAAAAACATGACAACGAGATGACAAGTTCCGCATTTATTTGCAACTAAGAATGATCGCTTAGTTTACTGGTTCTTAGTAAAAAATCAAAAGACCCAACATTATATTTGGATAACAAAGAACAAAAAACAAGATGGCTATATTATAGACATCTTATTTTTGTACTTAAATGTAAACGTTTATATTTTGGCCAGTAAATATGTTGCCAAAAATTTGTTTAAATTAAAATCATATTACAAAATGGCTTACTTACCCGTTTTATTTCTTCTTTATCTCTTTACGTGGATACTTTTTAAGCTCAAGGGAAGATCAGTGTTTACCTTAGTTGGAAAGGTACGTAGCTTAATTATAAGAGTAACATCAAGCAATATTGTGTTATCTGAAGAGCTTGCGACTGTAGTGGGCATACGAGCGTTGCTATCAGATGTTTTATGATACAGGTGTAAAATAAATTCATGGAAAAACACGATTATTATTTTCGTGTTTATGAATCGATAGCCACGACGATGTCGTTGCACTCTAATTGCTACGGAATATCGTACACGTACGCTAATGAATCTAAATTGTGCCTTACGTTACGTTGTTGAAAAAAATTGTTCCAGCTTGTCGCATATTAGATAGTCGATGTTTTACTTCACAAAATACTGCGAGCTACGAGAACAAAATAAACCTTACTGTTGTCTTTATTTTGTTTGTTAACCAAAGTATTTAAAATATTAATGCAAATGAAATGAAAATATTAGTAAGTAAAAACAAATTTAAAGAAACACTTTACGTCTTGCAGCTTTATTAAAAAGTTATGTAAAAAATCTATTCACTAGTTTCTTTTCGTTTAACAATTACGAGTACACTAACATAAAAATTGCATGAAATGTTTTGCTTGAAATTATTGCATTTTCATTACTTATTAACATAATGTTTAATTTGTGAAAAAGAATGAATAGAATATTTTGGACACTGCAATTTAAAAGTTGCGATAACTTTCAACTGAAAATATCTAACTATAAATCGATACATTTCTTGTTCAAACATTTATAGTTGGGAATACCTGTGATCCTTTCATTTAGAATAACTATTAAATTAGTTGGTAAATAATTGGAGCAACGTAAACAAACGGAAATAGTTCATCAATTGTGTCGTAAAATACATATGTTATTATTTTCTCTCGGGAATATAAATTAGGATATTGGGTCTAAATATATTACTTTGGCTAATAATACGGCAAGTCGTGTAACTATTAATTATCTGCCATAGCTAATTACTAAAATATACCTATCTATTTGTACAGAGCGAGCAGTTTAAGTCTAATTAATTGGAGCAAATTACACAATCTTGTTACTCTTATAAAAGGCAAAAATAATGAAACTGAAGAAAGGATCTAAAAGAAAGGAACAGAATTTTAATAACTATGTTTTTTATTTCTCGTCTCGTAACAGCTAATGTTAGTTGGTCAAATAAGATTGGGTATAAAACAAAAGCAAGTCGATGTCAGGACACATTTCCTTGCACCTCGTTGGCTTTTACCAGATGTGACAAAGCGCGAGCGTTGTGACTGGTAACTCCAGTTCCTAAAATTATACGGGATTTCCCGAAAAGTGTTTGAATACTTAGTTATTTACAGCTTTGTCGTCAAATATAAATAGCTGTTAAGCAATTATTGAAACTTTTAAAGCATATTTATTTTCAATCTGTTCAAAGCAATTACTCCACACTAACTTTATCCACATTAGGGATTTAAAATCGATAACATGTTTCACACAAAATTACGATAAAAAATGTCTAGATAAATTGTGCTTCAAACTTGCTTATGATTATTAGACAAAATAATGAATCTCATCTTATTAAAGTTGTAAATTACAATGTATATTAAATAAAGGACATTGATAAATTTGTCCTGGTTTAGTATAATATTATCAATTGGTCACCGTACCGTTTGTCCCTTTCCGTGCCTGTTTCAGTCGCGTTCGTGTTCCCCGGCTAAATGGCCGACTTCGTGAACTTCGCGTTGCTACCAAGCGAATACGGACCTTAAGTTACAGTATCGATATTATAATTATAAATTACAAATAAAAAACTAAATACTTTTAGGTGCAATATAAGTGAGAACAATACGAGAATTTTAAAGTGTAATTTTTGGTATGTACAAAGTTTTCTAATATTTTCTAACCTTAACTAAAGTCATACAAAGTTACAACTTTGTAACTTACAAGTGCTTTTGATGCTAATTAATATCGTTATAAACATTTTAAATACACAAGTATTGAATAAGTTAGAACTTATAATTTTATTAATCATGTCTATATTCGTTGGCTTATTTCTTTGAAACTCATTGTAATAAATATCACGCAATTAAACTTTTTAAATATACCATACTTGTAAAAGATAAATACACGTACATATTTGTTAGTTATTATTGGCAATATCGATTAATGCCATAAAAGTGCAAACTAAATTTCATATTTCAACTAGCTTTCGCCCTAGACTCCGTCCTCGTGGATTAAAAAAACCAAAACATAAGCAAGTAGCCTATGTGTTCTTTCAGACTATCCTCCATGTTTATGCCAAATTTCATCGCGATCCATTTAGCCGTTTAGGCTATAAACTACTAAAATAACAAACATCCATCCATCCATCCATCCATCCATCTATCCAAACTTTTGCATTCAAAATATTAGTAAGATTATTGCAGTTGTAGTTATATTGTCAAGTAAAGAGTGCGTTTTTTTAAAAAAAGCCGTCTTTAAAATAAATTCATTTTATAGTAGATTGTGGCAAACAAGCAAAGGGCGCTGAAATGGCGAAGTGGTCCCTGTCCATCTCTAATCTGAAAACAAGTTGAACAACTGATGCATAGTCTACATATAATGATCAGAAAATGAGACGTATAACATGTTTTATTTTTTCTCCTTCTATACGGTCTTTAAGCTTCGTACTCTAAATCCTATTCTCAATATTTCCTTGCAAGAAAATAATTTAAAGTGGAAGAGAAGTATGACATGACATCAGTGAAAACGCGGTTATAGTTCGAATGTACGTCTGACTTTTGTGCGCTTCTGAAATTCGGTTCAGTGCTGCCCACTCTATTAACGCTCAAAAAATCGTTACCCGCGAAGATGATTAGTAGATCAAAAAAAACAAGAGTTTGTATAATATCGATTCAGTTTTCTGTCACTAATACTTTTCCCTTGGTAAAAAATAACTACCAAGCTTTGACTACAGAGGATTCGTGATCGGAAAAAATGTTATTAAATATTCCGTTGATATATTTACAAAAACTTGAATAGAGTTTATTAAACAAGGAATTCCTGCTTAGGATACGTTATATTATGATTTACGTAATGAAAATATTTAATCTTTGATCATTTTTCTGGTTCACATGTAACAAAAGTCTTGCAATAATTTGAAAGCCGTGTCACTTTAAAAAAAATACTTTTGTTTTAATGTACAAGTTTTTCTTTTTACTTCTATATTTGGTACTTACATCTAATTTCCGAAAAGATAATGTATATAGAAAATACTTTCAATATTTTTATAATTTCTTTATTTACAGTGAAGCATTTGTATTCAGTAAGAAAACGCCTCTTGTAATGACATCGACGTGCTTTATAAAGCTAAGCAATTTTGTTCTTAAATGTATTTTTTATGATGTTAAGATTTGAAAAATTTATCCTCAAAAATACATTAATTATTTATATATAAAAAGTCAAAAAAGTATTAAGCTTTTGTAGGATTTTGCATATAAATTCTCTCTATAATCCTAGCAAAAGTTTATCTTTGTCTAGTCTATATGTACAGTCGTCATAATTTTACTGAAATTAGACAGTTTTTTTTACGATTTAATATAGCCTTGTGCTCGCTTCTAGCCTAACTATGGCGGATCTACTTAATGAAGATAATAAGGCACCGATGTTTATGAATATCCCGTAGTGTTCCTGTTTTTACAACTACGGCCAATGATTGCCTTTGTTCAAATGTTCAACGCAATTTCATATACATTGTGATTGAGACTCTTTGGTAGTATACACAGGTCACACAATATCGAAGGATGTTGGTAAACAATAATAATAGGGTAATACGATTTTTTTTCTCTTTTTAAACATTTCTATTTGATGTAAGATAACCAGAAAAAAATGTTAACTCCAAACCATTGAGCAAAAAAAAATCACGATCATTTTCATGCTACTAAAAAGCGGCCTGAGTTGGCTTGAGACATGTGTCGTCATTCGTCACATTCTGCTCAGATGTCACTACGATGTAAAAAAAACACACTATTTCATTTATTATCAGAGTTATCAAAAGTCAAAAATCAATTAAATCCTTCTATAACATTGGAAAAGCACATAAAAACGTGTTATAAATAATGTTAAACCAATAAAACCACGAGAGAATGCACAATATCGAGTTCATGAAAATATTTACCCGGAAATGTACACGACCAATACTTTATTGAAATTTCATTATTTCTGGTATTAAAATAATAAGTGAATGTGTAATACAAATAATTAATGATTGTTTTTTATTAAGATACCAAAGCTAGCTTTGGTATCGTGTTCTGGTATACCATCTTAGTAATACTAATATGCTAATATTATAAATGCGAATGTTTAGATGGATGGCTGAACGGATTTCGATGAAATTTGGTATAGACGTAGACGATAGTCTGGAAGAACACATAGGCTACTCAGTTTTGATTTTTTTCTGCGCGGACAGAGTCGCGGGCGAAAGCTGGTTTCTATATAAATTAATGTAGACGAACTGTGTATTGACATAACAGTGTCGCCAAATAGATAAGTCACTAGCAGCATGTTACAAAGTACTCTGTGGTCACTAGCTTCGACCAATAGCGTTGCGTTTAAGAACGTGGCGAGAGAATTCTAAAAAAGACATTTTTTTAATGATGAAATTTCGTTACTAAATCACATAACATCCAAAAAAATCTTAAAAGGTATGTTTATTAGTAATAAAGTAAACTTAAAAAAAGTTTGGTCCAATTTGGCGTCATATGAATATTTCCTACTCCCAAATTAAACAAAGGTACAAGCTGTCACATACATACACTCTATATTTAAGTAAGTCATTTTTATATTAATACTAGCTTTCGCCCGCGACTCCGTGCGCATGGAATTAAAAAAAGCCTATGTGTTCTTCCTGACTATCTTCTACATCTATACCAAATTTCAACGAAATCTGTTCAGCCGTTTAGGTTACAAACTCTAACGAACATCCATCTATCCATCCATCCATCTGAACTTTGGCATTTATAATATTAGTATGATATTTAATTTAAATTTCTTTGCAAATATGCAAGTTTTTATCACGATGTTTTCCTTCACCGTAAGAAACTCTGCTAAATTTACATACGAAAATCGAAAAACACAGTGGTTTGTGTGATTCGAACTCAGGACCTGCAGATTACAAGTCAAGGCCCCTGAGCCACCGACGCTTACTTAGAACTTAATACGTGTTTCAAATACTAAATCTTTAAAACAATCTATTTATCAAAGAATTTTAGGATATATATGTTGTAAATAGACTTACTGAAATAGACGCAAATAATAAAATCCTCAAAATGACTCCCTAATTTACGTAAATTGTTACTCTGTAGGGACATTTAATTGATTTTAAACTGAGTTAAACGACGACCCTTGACCCGAAATGTTTAAATTATTAATTAATAATTGAAAGGGGAGGGAATATATTAATTGGAAATTAAATATTCTACGATGGTATCGTTATACCATCGGAAATGGCGTTCCATTTCCTATTATTGCGTTTAAAAATATATCGTTTTCTAAGAAAACTGAGACGGTAATATGTTTTGTGGGCCACGGGTTTTGACAGATGAAACCCATGGTATCTAAATCTATTCAATGTCTGTCATTGTTGTGGGGATTTCAATCCTTATTTTAACTACATAATACCCAATTATAGTTAGAACAATAGTGAGGAATACTCCCTATCACTAACAATGTGGGACGTAAAGGTTTTATCAAATGGAAACAATTTGTAGCACTAATACTTATGTCTCATTCAACGTTATTGGATTGTATATGGTCACGTGTTCACTCTACCATAATCTTAGATAAGATACGTTAAATTAATTGACTCTAATATTGAATTGAATTTAATTTAGTACAATTTCCTCTTTTAAGTAATTAGATACAAAGCTTCCCAACATGTATGTACTGTACGTAATCTGTAGTGCGTAAATTACACTTTTGTGGAAATGCTACAAAGTACATACAATTCTTAACCTGACGCCTGTTTTTCTAATATTCACGTAGTTAAATATTGTTATACAATATGCACATATCACTAGTCATTTGTAATGAAACTTCCATTTTCCTTCGACAGAATCAATTCAATTGATTATGGTATTCACGTCGCTAGAACTTTGAACCACCACAATAAACTTCTGTTTCTATTGTTCCAGTTCTGCATCTATTGCACAAGGATAAATAACAATGGGATTAACGAACTAAAATATTCAACAGCAGTTTTAAAAAAAATCAAAATGACGAACAAATCGCAGATCCTTTACAATATTTTCCAAGAGATACTGGCAGCATCGGGGAACTCTTCAGACAGCCAGAGCATTAATGAGACCAAGATCTTATCAGTGTTACGTGAGCAGACCGCAAAAGGGCAAGGCAATAATTTGGGCTCGATTCTAGTGAAGGTTGTAAGTGATGCACAGAGTAAACTCAACCTCACCATCAAACCTGATCCCTGTGGCTACTGCGATGGTGACTTCAGACACGTTATAGAAACATACAATGGAATTCACGGATACGTCAGTTTATTGGTAAGTATTTATTATAAAGTTTTCATGGAACTACGTCATCCATCAAGTTTCTATTTATAAAGTGCTAGCTTTCGCCCGCGAGTCCGTCCGCTTACAATTAAAAAAAAAAGTGAATATATATCCTTTATCCTCTATATCTATACCAAATTTTATCGAAATCCGTTTAGGCTACAAACTCTAACTAACATCCATTCATCCCCCATCTAAACTGTTGCACTTACAATATAAGTATAAAGTAGGGTAACTATAAATTTTTAATTTTCATACTTCAAAACTTTAAAATAATTTTCTTATAGTTGTCGTGGTGACGAGCGGTTTTGCAGAATTCAATTAAGGTACATTATATACACGGTAATGATCTTCAATTGTAGGCGTGCGTATGTCGCAGATAAAGAAACAACAATCGAGTAACATTAGTAACAATATCCTTAGTTGACCACCATCTTAATTGATAACTTCACAACACACTCTTATCGAATTACAAACATTTCAAATATTAACCAATTGATTTTATAATAACAAAACGCATCATTCCACCATTCAAAGACAACTGTCGTTAGTCATTCGACCGCCGCTTGACATCTATCATGCACGATGGGTATTCAGCCAGTACTCAAAATTACTAGTTGCTAGTTACTTTAATCGTTCAATACGTTTCAATAATTTCGCCCCGTTATAGTTATAACACCAATGCTCATGTATGTTAATTAATATATAAATGGATATATTAAATAGGGAATTGGAATTTCCCGTATTAGCTTAGTGTCAACAAATAGTGTCCTAACATAACCTAACTTCATAATTAAACTGTAAAATGCAATTTTTCGGAACAAAATCGACTTAAGTATTATGCTCTTCGTCTCATATTTATGATAACAAATAACAAATTTTAGATTCTACATGGTTTTCAAGGTTTTTTATCATTTTTAATGTGTAGTAAATACTAAATTGTCAAGGCCTTATACATCACGCAACCTTGGATGTGTTAAAAACGTATAACAATGTGAGATTAAATGTATATTTGTACAAGAAAAATTACGTTATTGAAAAATGAATAACTAACTAACGTTATTAATGGTAATTATTAGACAGCGGACTACAATTTTTTTCTAGAATGTCCGTCGATATTATCATAATGACTCTTTTGTGAGTTAATTTCTCATGATACGAAAAAAATGCTATTATAGTACGTTTTTTTATATAATGAACCATTAAGTAAAACCGCGTAAACTGTTCAATATAATAATACAGATTATTCCACTAACCAATGTTGTGAAAAATATTGAATTGACGTAAAAGCGTTTCACGCCTCGCGACTCACTAATTTGTTTCATAAATATGTCAATAATAATTTATGCCGACACACCTAAATGTTACAAAATGATAAACATTAAATTCTTTAATATTTTGTACAAGAAATGTTAATCTTACTTCTTACTTTCTTACTTATAATATAAATAAGAAAGTTTAGATGGATGGATGGATGTTTGTTAGAGTTTATAGCTTAAACGGCTGAACAGATCTCGATGAAATTTGGCATAGACGCAGGGCATAGTCTGGAAGAACACATAGGCTTACTTTTGTTTTTTTTTATAATTCCACGCGGACGAAGTAGCGGGCCCAAGCTAGTAATGGCATAAAATGTTGACTAAACTAATGTTTCGTTTAAAAAATAACACTTAAGTTTGACGCGAAATTGTGTACATTACCTACCTTATTCAATTTTGGATGGTTAATGTTGACGATGCCGATATACTGAAAAAAGTGTATTTTTTTCACTTTTAAGAAATTTCATTTGTCTACAAAATTATTGAGGTTGTTCAGCTTTTAAAATCAATTCACTTTTTAATTTGCATTCATTTTTATTATCGAATTTAAAGTACTCTTTGTTATACTTTTAAATGGTTGTCAGATGATGCAAACAATGCTTATTGACAACACAATGAATATTCCGAACAAAAACAATGTTGAACGTTTTAAATTAAAAACTGAACGAGATATTCGAGAAACACATTGTAGCTTTTACGAATCTTATCGGCAACAATTATTTTTTCAACTTTCGAGTACATTCTATTGCAATAACTGAGACGTTTAAAGAAGTAGTAACTAAGTCTTTCTAAGTACAGTCTGGTCCATTTGTTAGTTGCGTTCCGGTCCATGCATAATATATATTTATTATCTCGAGGATTGTCCTCGTTAGTTCATTTTTTTTGATTTATTATGATATATCTTGGGAACGTTCCTTAAAAGCGTAAAAAAACAGTATCGTCGTATTTTTACCCCTCCATGTCTTCGTTAATACTTGATGTCAGTGTTATTTATTGTTACAGGTCTGCACTATTGGAGTTCTTGCAAACTCTATGAATATAGCTGTGCTAACTAGGAAGGACATGGCGGCAGCACCTATCAACCGCCTACTCAAATGGCTCGCCGTTGCCGACGTTTTCGTGATGGTTGAATACGTACCTTTCGCGATATATAAATACTTAGTATGTTACCTTTTCTTAGTATTTTTATGTCTTGTCTAATTTAGTCACTAATGATATATTTTAATTATCGATAAGTCTTACTGTATAGTGTATGCACTACCTACTTAATGTATACACCGTGCAAATTAGTACGAATCACAACCACATTTCTAATTTCAAAAGAGCAATGATAATGTTCTTCGATAATGCTAATTTTATGGTCCCCAAGAATAACCAAAGATCAAAGTTTGTATGAAACGTAAGAAATTATACGAAGCTAATTTAAATTAGACAGATGTAATTGAAGATGTTTAAAACAACAGATAACTTCTTCCAAGACTGTATAAAGAAATAAACTTTCGTTAAGTTATGTATTTGCTACATTTATTTGTACGAAAAAAGAAGTTATCATTTTATTTTAATTTGATCTGCTTTTTTAGGTTTTGCCGGAAAAATTAGACTTTCCATATTCTTGGGCGATGTATCTACTATTTCACATGCACTTTGCTCAAATACTACACACGGCGTCCATCTGCCTCACGCTAGCGCTGGCCATTTGGAGATATGTCGCTATCAAGTAGGTATTACTTGTTTTTTTTAAAGCACAGAAACCATATAGATGTAGGCGTGACTATCACATCACGTGTATAATCATTTTGTGAATAGAATTGTGAAAGTTATCCTGATGGTTTGAGCATTTTTAAAATGAACCCTAATACAAACTTTTAGATACTCCGACAGAAGCCATATACTCTGCACGGAACGGAGATGCAGCCTCGCAATTCTTACTAGCTTCATTCTTCCGCCGATATTGTGTACTCCAACATTTATGGTATGTTTAATAAGACCATTTTCCACAAGACTCTGTCGCTTGACTGTTACTTATTTTTTAGACCAATGCTGAAGCATTTCTTTAAAAAACTGATATAATAATATGTTGTGAGATAGTTCAGTGGAAACCCATAGTTTTAAAACATTCAATCTAACTCAAATACTTGAAGGACTAATCGAATTTCTGGTATCAATGAATTCAAAGACATTTCACACAATAAAAATTACTATTGAATGTATATTTGTAATTTGACAGGTATTTGATATCTATACAAAGAACGTGAGCGACGTCAAC